GCAGTCTTCCTGTTAAAGCAATAAAAGAATTTAAACAAATTATATTACATTATTAAATTAAAGTGAAAGTTTGCGAAAACTCACATTTTGAAGAAATAACGAATTTTCTGACCTTCCCTTTAAAGCAGTAAAACAATTATTAAAATAAACAGTAAACTATAACAGATATATGGGTGGTGCAGTCTTCCCTTTAAAGCAATAAATAAAGCAATAAAAGAATTTAAACAAATTATATTACATTCTTAAATTTAAGTGAAAATTTGCAAAAACTCACCTTTTGAAGAGATGACAAATATTCTGATTTACAAACTTTATTTTGATCACCCTCAAGGTTGTGGAATGCGTTCTCAATTCTCAATCAAAAATTTAAAATTTCAGTTTTAATGGTGTGTTTTTGTTTGTTGGATGGTGTGTTGGTAAAGAGGCAATAAAGAGAATGAAAAAAAAATTTTGGTTTAGAAAAATAAAATATCTAATATCTTTTTTTCCTTTTCTCTCTTGAAAATATTTTTTTTCTCTTTTTTTTTTCCTTTCTTTTCTCTCTTCTCAGATTTTTTCCTTCTCTCTTTTTTTTAAAATTTTTTTCTGATCTTTCTCCCCAATTTTTTTTCCTCTCAATTCTGATTTTTTTTTTTGTTTTTGTTTTTTCATTGATCTTCCCCTGCACTTTTATAGAAGAAAAAAAAACCCACAAACAAACAAAATACAATTAGGTGGGGAGCTGACGTTTTCAAAGAATGCACACTAAAAATTACTGTACATTTTATAATATAATAATATATAAAAGGTATTATTAATATAAATATATTTATAAATACTCAAAAAATATAAAAATACACAAAAATATGTAAAATTATAAAATAACAAAATAAATAGACTAATAAAATATATTTTAGCAGGTCAAATATGTAACATAATTTGACCAAAGCGGGACTAAAACAACAAAGCACACGATGAGAGTGTAGTGAATTTTTCAAAGGGGGAATAGTATCCTCATAGAATATAATAATATATAAAATATTTAATATATATACATACAAATAATTATATTAATATATGTATATATAGTCAAAATATTATAAAAACACACCAAAACATAATTATAAAATAATAAAAATGAATGGACTAATATAAAATATTTTAACGGGCCAAATATGTAACATAATTTGGCCAAAACAAGTCTAGGTTAGGATTAAAATTTTAAATTTCATCTTTCTATTAAAAATTTTGTAAAATAGCATATTCTTATTTTCATTATCGAGTAATATAAAAAAAAATCCAAATCTTAGACCAACAAAATTGAGTTATCTACGCTACTCCACTCTTTTCTGTGGACATATTTGACAAGAAGAAGAAAATGAGCTGGTCTTCCACCTACTTATTCCTGCTCCTTGACTTGAGCCAGCCTTCAACAACTCCCCATGTGGCCTGGAGCTAACACACTTCACATCTTTCCATTCTCTATACCAACTTAATGTATTTCAGACAACCTCGATATTTTCGGGCTTGGAGAAACATTAATTTTATTTCCAGAAACAAATACAAAAAAAAAAAAAAAAAAAAAAAAAAAAAAAAAAAAAAACCAGAAATTTCTACACAAGTGCTTGTACATCTACACCTCTACACCAGTTATGTATTAGTGTAACTGCCTAGTTAATCAAATTATTGTTAGATCTTAAACTAATTGGCATTATTAAGTAGAGATGTACTTGGATCTTGAAGTAAATGATGAAATTACCTTCTTTTCTTTTCTGTTGCTTTATATAATTATTATTGGGTTAATTACATTTTTAGTTTTCAAAGTATGAGTTTTGTGTTATTTTAGTCCTCAATGTATAAAAAGTGTTTCAATTTAGTCCCTCAATTGTATCTTAACGGATGTAGATTGTGTGACTAAATTGAATTTTTTTTTGTACATTAGGAATTAAATTGATACAATTTAAACATTAAGGGCAAAGTTGAAATACTTTTATACATTGAAGATTAAATTGGCACAATTGAAACATTAGGGACTAAAAACGACATTGAGACTCATACTTTAATATCAAAAAATATAATTGACTCTTATTATTTATTGTTTTTGAATTTATTTCAATTTAATTTAGCAATTTAAAATTTAGGCCATGACCAATTTCCTAGTTAGTCCTATACATGTAATATGATATCAAGAAAAGAATTACAAAAGCTAAATGAAAAGAAAAGAAAAAATTCTCATTAATTGGATCTAATCTTTTGCGATAAGTGAAAAATTCTGCATATCGCATATTTTCACTTTGTAATTAAAGAACACTTAATTAAAGATTTCAGTCACAGTGATTTTTCATCAAATTGGTAGAATTTTAATTGGCTTTTTTTAATAACCATTTATCTTCTTAGTAAAGATTAAGATGTAAAAATCAAAACCATGGGAAATCAAATCTAATTTTTAAAAAAATGCCTTATAGTATTATTTATGTTTTTTTTTCTTGTCCTCCTAGTTTGCGAATGTGTTGATACCAAGAAGATAATTTATTACATAACCTTTAAACTTTATAAAAAGTAATTACTCAAAGTTTTAATCACATAAAAGCATAAGAGAAATGTTGGGGATCATGAAAAATTTGTGACTCTTAGATTACCTTGATTAATGTGTGGTGCTTTATTGTAAGTGTAATCCAAAGGTCACAAATCTTTCATGATCATTTTTATGAAAGACTTTTCATGATACCTAGCATTGCTGTCAAGCACAAATAATAGTGTTATTTGATTCGAAATCAACATGCTTTTATAATTTAATTATTGGGTGAAGTGAACCTTACACTTAACTAATATAATTCAATTTTCAAGTCAAATATCTATCATATAAGTAAATATTTTTATCTCATGCTAACCTTTTATCGGCAAAATATTATAATATATATTTATTCATAGCCCTTAGTCATTTTGACTATTTTAACAACTCTTTATTTATTGCCGTCACTATTATAATATTATTTTTTTACCAAATAGTTGTAGGTTTGACATGTTAGATCCTGATTGGTGGATGTTTGCATCCCACTTACCACTAATTAATACCAAAAAAAAATGCTTTAGGCTCTATGGCAGTGGGTCTCACCCACTATGATGTGATGTTTTGATCTTAATTTGTTTGTTTATATATTTTTTTTCCTTTCCATGTCATTGTGCTGCATTAGAGTATCAAAATTAGCGTTCTGAATCATTGCTATTAATACAATCTGACTTTCAAATAAAATATCATTGTAGAAGTAATCAAAAACAAAACAAAGTAAAAATTTATTACCTATAAGCCTTTTTCTCAAAAAATAAAAATAAAAATAAATAAATAAAAAAAAAAACTCCTTAGGCCGTAATCATCATGACCATGTTAATAACCCCTTCCTCATTCTTGTCATCACACTTCTTTTAATCCATATCCACTGCAAAAACGGAAGACAATTAGGTCATATTTGATCATCAATACAAGTTGAGTTTTATTATTTTTATTAAATTAACTAATAAAATTATTAGTATGGTTATAAATTATTACTCTCCTAAGTTATGTTTTTCAAAAGTTGAAGCAATATTACTTGTTTCTTTTTACAATTTTAGATAAATCAATTTATGAAATTCGTTCAAAATTTTACATAAGGTATCTAAAGAAGATGAAAGTTTAGTGGGTTCATTGAATTCCACATAGCCCCACTACCGTTAATTATATGCCAACCATTTGTATCTATTGAATTATATTTTAGGAGTATAATGGAATTTTTAATGATTGTGATTGTTTTAGAATATTAAGACATAAATATTTGAGGATAAAGAATTCTTGACCTTCTCGTCCCCACAATTGTGGGAGCCGAATAAAAATAAATGGTACATCTTTGATGGGCTAGATGAGACCAAAGCCCACTGAACTCGATGTTATTGCCGAATAAATACAAAAAGCAGGATAAGGAGCGCGCTGAGTTAGGGGTACTTGGGCTCCACATCTGAGCCGAGTACGTCACATAAGTCGGCGAGATCACGTTGGGTGAATTCAGGCTATGTCCATTTCTAAATAATATAGTTGGAAAATGGATCCTAACAAAGTGATGATAATGACCTAAGTTACAAGAAATATATCAAGAAGAGTGACTTCATAAAAGGAGGAGAAAGTTGGAGAGAGAGGTAGGTTCGAAAAACTTGCACTTAAGGAAACAAAACACTCTTTTTCATAAAAAAGGCTAACTTGCTTATCGGAGTGCTAATTCCGGTACCACCGACCAGAGTTGTTCTTCTGTTTTAGGTGACGTCTCAAGGATCGCTAGAGAACTTGTCTGAATTAAAGGAGTATTCCAAAATCACTTCCCCTTAGTAACTTTTCACCAGACAATAGCAAGCTGTTAGTTGTTGATGCATACACAATTAGTTATAGTTAGTTATAGTTGTGGTAAGTTAACCAATATGGCTAATGGCGCAGTGGATATGAGGCTCATCCTCACTAATGGACTATGACAATACTCTCTATTTATAAAAGGTAAAAAAAAGAAAGGCCGAGGTAAATAATAGATAAAAATTCTAAAACTCCTCCTTCCATCCCGTCTCTCTAAGATGACTCTACTTTACACCAATGTTCACCAAAGACTCATATCTTCACTTACAGGTTGATTAGATTGAATCGGGACTTTACATATCTAAACATTATCAGTCGTCAAGCCACTACAAAATCTATAAATGTTCCTAAGACATTCATTAACAAAATCTATAAATAAAATCTATTTCCATTATACAAATAGATGACTCTTTTTTTTTTTTTTTTTAATAATTAAATTGACATTTATTTACTTTTTCAATATATATGAAAACTATAGTGAGTTGTGACAAGAGGGCATACGTAATAGATCGATGGTCAAACAAGAGCAAAAACTTCATTAGTATCCATTGAAATCTTTAAACTTTGATTTTATATATGCCTATCCACATCTAAAATTATTTTAACAAAACATTGCAATCAAGGCATTGTAAAAAACTAGGAAAATAGTCACCCTTCTCTTCCCTTTCCCACCTTATAAATTTCTCTGCATAAACTCACTCATTCATATTCACTCTCTATCAACCACCATTCTCTCTAGTCATGGCAACGGTGAAGGTCCATGGTAGCGTTTTTTCAACGGCCTCACAGCGAGTTTTGGTTTGCCTCCATGAAAAAGAACTCGACTTTGAGTTTGTTCCGGTTGACATGAGCTCTGGTGACCACAAAAAACCACCTTTCCTTTCCCTCAATGTAAGTATACATTTAGTAATGACCGCCTTGGAGTTCAGGTGTTTTTTGCCTTTTTAAGCGACTTTTGTATATCTTTTCTTTTGATAATAAAATTTTACTTACTAAAGAAAATGAAAATTTTGACTTGCGAATTCTAACATTTTTTGGCCTATTGATGTAGCCATTTGGTCAATTGCCAGCATTTGAAGAGGGAGATTTGAAGCTCTTTGGTATGATTATGAACTAACCCTTAGCTCTGGCTAGCTACTGATGGAAGTTTTGATAGCTTAGATTGTAATCTAAAGAGGGTACTTTTTGAACTCAAATAATCTTACTTTTTCATTAAAAGATGCCTCCTGGTTAAGAGTCATCCTTTCATGAAAATGTATCTTTTTTATAGAAGAATCATAAAATTTCATGAAGTGATACTTTGGGAACCCTTGACTCACTATAAATTGCGGTGAAATTTGGAAAATCATCTCCGTCATTCATTGTTCATTCCACACTAAAATTTATACAATTTTGTAGACCCGTTTCTAAGGAAGATCACTAGTATTACTGAACCACAAGATTTTGGTGACTTTGTTATGTCCTGAAAGTACTATGCTACTCAAACCAGACAACAAATTATACAATAGCTAGGGCAATTAATACCTTAGAAGACAGTATCTGCAACATGTCTCGAAATCGCATACAAATTTAGTTTCTATTTCCTCACAATCAAGAATTGCAAATGATATGATTAGCCTTGTTATGATGTTGTGACTTCTGGAATGCAGAGTCAAGGGCAATTACCCAATACATATCACACACTAATCCAAACAAAGGGAACCAACTAATATGCCAAGACCCAAAAAAGATGGCAATCATGTCTGTGTGGATGGAGGTTGAAGCTCACGAGTTTGACCCTCCATCTTCAAAGCTCGCTTGGGAGCAAGCCTTCAAGCCAATGTTTGGTATGACAACTGATGTCGCGGTGGTGGAAGAGAATGAGGCTAAGCTGGCTAAGGTTTTGGACATCTATGAGGCTCGGCTGGCTCAGTCAAAGTATATGGGTGGAGATTGCTTCACCTTGGTGGATCTGCACCACCTTCCTAACATCCAGTACTTGATGGATACTCAGTCCAAGAAGCTCTTTGATTCGCGGCCACATGTCCGCACCTGGTGCTCTGATATCCTGGCAAGGCCGAATTGGTTGAAGGTTGTTGCCATGAAAAATAACTAGCATTTTCAATTTTCGATCTGCTTTGTCTTGATCTGTCTTCTTCTCTTGTATGAAGAAAGCATAAACCTTATGTTTTGATCATAAATAACTTGCTATGTCAAGGTCAAGAATCCTGTTGACCATTACTATGTCTTAAGTTTCTTCTTGTTTGGATTATGCATAGTCCTTAATGCTTTCCTTTATTTTTTTCCAATTTGAGACACTAAGCCTGTGTTTGGATTTTAGATTTGAGTAGAGATAAGTAGAAGGTCAAAAAATGGCAAGGGAAAAATGACAAAAAAATTAGTTTATATTTTTGTCACTTTTCCCTTCCTTTTTCATTTCTCTCCACGAATTCCTACTCAAATCCATGATCCAAACATAACGTAATTGAACACAAGACACACATGCTCAGGGCTTGACAAATTGGAGAAGAAAAGAACATAACTTGTCTTCAACTCTGGTTATTTGTCATTGCTAGTACCCTATCTAACTAATCAACTAACATGGAGTTCCAAGTATGAAGCACCAATACAGCTAATTCACCTATTATCTCCTGGAATCAATTTTTTTTTAACTGCAAAATGTAATGGGTGCTGACAGTTGAGCCAGTTGCTGAACAAGACAGCCCTTAATTTACACTTCAAATGGGACATACATTCCAACAATCTGGGAGCCTCCAATGCCATTATTTACACTTTTGTGTTTATTTGCTTTCCTTCTTACAGCAACAACGAGCACTTCGATCAGATTGTTTAGATCAGCCCTTCAGTGCATTGTTCGTGCCTCAAGAGTCAAAGAATAAAAAACCATCAATTGAAGGGTTCAGAAACTAGATACCCTCTCTAATCACTGCCAAGTTTATTATATATCCATTCAAGAAATTCAGATGCCTGAAAGGACTATATCCCGGTTTTCTCTATCTATATGCGAATGAAACATACGTCACTCCCATCTTCCCATTGCTACATACAGATTAGAGACAGTACAACATAAAAGCCACTATTCTCTGGTGTCAACTCCATGAGTTTCCAAGCTGGAAACTTGATCACATCTACATTCCCATGAGCCCTACAACCCGCTAGGAGTGCTCCCCATGAGCAATTATTCCATACATATCAAACAAAGGAGTCGCCAAGATCACATTTAATTATAGAGTCATGTATCCAAAAAAAATACCCATTTCATTTCAATAGCCCCAAAACTTAAGCATGTAGAGAAAGGCCAAAGCATTGACCAGAATCACTTTGATTCAGCATTACACCTACATATATTGCATATGTTGAAAAGTTATCAACAAAATCATCATATGTAACAGCTTCTCCCATAGCCACTAATCATAACAGTCCACGCCATGACATCACTTTGGGGCATTTCATCGAATACTATCCAACACAAGTTCATATTGCCACCCGACATGCATACACATTTCATTTGTCAAGTCCCCTAGATCACATCCATCCAATATCCACCTCCTCCTCCTAAAGTAAAGTCATGTATCCGAAAAATACCCATGTCAATAGCCTCAAAACTTGAGCATGCAGATAAAGCATTGACCATATCGTCACTTAATTCTTGGGCATCATCACACAAGCATACTGCACCTGTTCAAAAGTAATTAATGAACCATTAAATTTACCAGCGTCTCCATATACCATACCCACTAATCATAACAGTCCACTCCACCACTCAAAATCTCATTGCGGCATTTCATCAAGCACACTTTGACCACACAAGTTCATATTGCTATCCAACCCATACACACATTTTTATGTTCTGGTTAAAAAAATCAAAAAACCAAAAACAGTGCGCATCCAGGGAATCGAACCCTGGTCAGTACCGTGGGAGGGTACTATGATACCACTACACCAGATGCGCGTGCTGATGTTGTAACCCGTAATTTAATTATTAATAACTTCATTCTAACATTGTCTCTCTTTTTTTTTTTAATTAAAAAAAAAGATTAATGAAATATTTAAGTATATATCAACATTGTTTTTTATGTCATTTTTCCAAAATTAATCTAACACAAACAACCCGTGCGAGAAAATTAATATTCAAGTATATATTAGGCACATAAACCTTTATTATCAATTTATTCACCCCTTAATCATGAGGTTAATAAAGTACATTTTCTTTTGAGAATAAAACATGTTGACAAAGATGGGTTAAATTAAGAGCACTTATAAGAACAAATACAAGAGTATCCACTGCCATCAGGACGAGGAGCACACCAACCAGAAACACTATCAGTATGATGCTTTTCAATGCACTGTTTATTGCAAGCTGCTTCAATGCATCCATTAGGAGCTAACACTTCATTGCAAAGGTTAGTGCCAATCTTACTGCCATCCTGAGCCATTGTCAATCCAACTGCAAAAAAAAAGACATGGACACAATAATAAATTATATTGAAAGGTCTTGCATTTTACTCTTTGTATTATTTTAGTTTTTAACTTTTAATTATTTGATTTTGACTCTTAATTTTGAATTTTGTGTCAATTTAACTCAATTAATATCTCTGGTTATTATACAGATAAAATAAATATAAAAATATATTAATTGTCTTATTAAATTATATTAAGAATTAGATTCTTTTTTTGATAGCATTGATTAAAGAATATTATTAACAATATCTCTAACAATTATTTTTGCATAAAGAAGTTATTTTAAATTAACATTAATAAAACCATATATAATATTACTATGTCACAGGAAATATTAATTGAAAATTGTGAAAAAAATTAAAGGAAGTTTTAAATAAATGAATGAAAAATGTTATGAAATTAATGAAAAGTATTAAAAAGATCCTTTCATATAAACCGCAATATATATTTACATATCTATCTATGAGTAATTCATGGTTATGTCTAAAAATAGGGCGAATTACCCTTAACGGTCTTATAGTTTGGGACTCATTCTAAATAAGGATAATTGAAGACATTATTTCCTTTGCAAATAAAAAATGCTCAATTTCAATGGCAAAGTCGTCAATTTGAAAAAATAAACTAGTTTGACAAAAATAAATATCAAAAACATATTTTTGTATTTTTAAAAATTATTTCTACCCACCAAAAATAAAATTATATAAATACGATAAATTTTTTACATTTTTACATTTTAATTTTCTACCAAATAAATTTTAGTATGTGTTTGGATGATAATCTCATGTAATGGGTGATTGTTTTTGTTGATATTTTTGGATGATTTTTTCTTTTTTTTTTTGATCAGTAGAAATCCATTGAAGGAAGCCAAAAACGGCATTTAGAGGGGCCAACAAACAACTAAGCTTACACCAAAACAGAGTAAATTACAAGAAGCACTTTGGAGAACCCATCAAAATTGACAATAGAGTCTGTCTGAGATAAATCATATATTTTTTTATGGTTATCATATAATAGATGATTGTTTTGTTGTTGACAGATTTTTTGGATGGTTATTAGACTTTTAATGTGTAATCGATGCATTTTTAGTTTTGAATTTTTTGATTTAATAGATTTGTTTGATAATGGCATCAAAGTTGTTATCATGTTTGACTTTTGAAAAAATAGAAACTAATTTAACGAAAATAAATATAAAAAATTATTTCTACCCTACCAAAAGATAAAATTATATAAAATAATGTGTTTTAAATTTTTTTTACCAATTTAATTTTTAATTTCTTGGAAACATTTTCTAAAAATAGATTCTGAAAACCAAACCAAACCAAACCAAACAAAATTTTATAACCAAGAAAGTGCCAGCATTATTAATTAAAAAAAAGGCTTTTACATTTTAAATAACATATAAGTTACAGCAATGGTTGATGGCCCGAAAATATGTGGCTAGAATGGCTCGAAACACCCAAACAACATCGTTTTGTTTGTAAAACGACGTCGTTTTGCCATTTTCGCCACATATTTTCAATACACCAAGCATTTTTCTATAAGTTAACCAACACAAAATAAGTTGTATGACGATTTTGCCCTTGAAATGGACTGTTTATAAATGAAACATATTCAATTGTCTTTGTTTAAAATAAGATTCAAAATTCAAGATCAAATATATCACAATTAAAAAGTTAGAGATCAAAGTGATACAAGTTTCAAACTACATGGACTGTTAATATAATTCATCCCTAAAAATATCACAAACAGAGAGTGGTCTAGCTAGGTATAAATTTTCGAAGGCTAAATACTTTATCAAATCACAAGAATTGAGAGTTTGTTAAGAGCAATGCACAAACCTGATAAAACAATAACAAAGAGTAAGAAATGGGCGCAATAGAACTTAACCATCTCCTAATCAAAAAGAGCTATTACCTAATGTTTGCTCGTATGAAAATTAGAATACTCTAATTCTAGGGTGGTATTTATACCGTGGAGAAAATATAAATATATACCAATTTAAGACCTCTCCTACGTTTTGCTATTGAAATCATCCTTGTTAAACGTTTCTCTCTAAAATGAACATTAAAATCATTAATTGTCATCTGTTTTTTATGAAAATTATTAATAAGTCTTCCGTTTTTTTTAGGGAAAATCGGTTTAAGGTCCCTATCCAACTTTTAGTAATGGATTAGGTCCACAATGTGTTCTTTTGTAGCCTAAGGTCCCTCAATGTTATTTTAGAGTGTAAAATACCTGTCTTACCCTTGTTTATAATATACGTTGTTTTCAATTTGGCAGCTAAAGATCATATTGATATTTTGTGGGAGATTACGTGAGGATGAACTTAACGATTCAGATTTTTGTGGAGATTTTCTAGGGTTTTGTAGGTGTTGAAATCCTGTTCGTTGTTTGTAGGTGTTGAAATCCTGTACGAGTTGAAATCATGTTCGTTGTTTGTAGGTGTTGATTGATCGTGTAGGAGTTGAAATCTGGTTCATTGTGTTTGATTTGATTTCATGTGGAGTTGAAATAGATAAGTTTTCAATTTTTGATTTGATTTGATCGTGTAGGTGTTGAATTAGGTTTTTGTTTTTAGTTTTGATCAATGTGAGAGAGACGAACTCAGTGTTGTTCTTTTTGATTTTTGAAGTTAATTTTTCATTATCTATTATTGATGAATTTTCGATGGAGTTGATTTTGATTTTTGGAGTTGCTTTTTCATTCTCTGTCAACATGGTTATGAGTTCCTTTTTGGTGCTCTGTTTTTCTGCGTTTTGTGCTCTGTTTTTTGTTCACTTTGCATTTTTT